TGGACAAACTTATAACCACTTCTATTAATTTTTATTGTCAGAAATAATAATAAAGAGTTATGATAATCATAAAAATCATTTTAATTAACAAGTTAATACAATATAATTTGCCTGGTTATGACAATACATTATTTAGAAGATTCATGCTGGTGCAAAATCTTAAGATTCCTTGCTTTTTGAGTCACATGACATGACTTTCCATCTGGCATGATTGTCTATTTTAAGATGATAGGCTAGCTAGTGAGGTAGGGTTTTGAGGAGAGGGGAGGGAGGGTTAGGACATTGTGCAAGTTGGCCTAAATATAAGGCTTATGAACGGTGAAGCTTAGCTAATCTCGTCTCCCATAAGGCATAAGGGATATATGCTCACTATTTAAAAAACATGTTGAGTGACTTTCCTACAATCTTCCTTTATCAGAATCTATTACCTCATCAAAATCTTGTTCTACTTCATCATCACATATGGCTCACTGGTTTGGCTGACTATTATGGGGAGAGAGATGATGTGTTTTTTAAAATTTAGTATGAGTAGAGGTAGCCAGATATGTCGTAAACTTAAACGTGTTAATTTGAGCAATTATTTTATCGTTTCTTATATGTTGTAGGTGATTTTATGTATTCAAGTTTTACTGTACAAACTTATACACAGTGACTAATTGTAATTGTTACTTTGAAATTAATATAGAAATTTATGAAAAAGTAATAATCATGATTAACAAGCTAACAAAAAAGACTATTCACTAAAATATATTTCTCTCTATTTGGTTTCGAGTGTTTCCTTTATAAAAACAAAGAATATATGAAATGATTAGTTTGTAATACTAATAACAATTTTCTAAATAAATTCGTTTAATGGGTTAGCCCAACTTTAATTTTGAGTTGGGCCCGAATTGTAAATGTGTCACAAACACATGGAATATATCAAACACATGCAGCAAAGAAAAGGTCTATAAAATCTCTCTGGATTTAATGGGAAATTGAAAATTTTGAATAATGGGAAACTTCAAGATTCGGATTAGCATTCTTCATCAAGTCCAGAATCTTCTCTAGTTCAGCCTCTGCATGCATCGAAACAAATTTAATTAATTATAAGGAATTAGTAGTAATTTAACCTTGATTTAAGGCTAGTGATTATAACTTTCATCTTTTATTTTACTGCGTGCATTTTCTTACAATGCGAAAGCATAAATAATTATAAAATAATCAGTTCGGACTTCACATACATAGAAAATCGCTAAAATCCTAATTCGTTGTAGAACAAAACCTTTTAAGAGATTGAAGAACATACTTTCATGGCCGCCCAACTTATTAATAGCAGCAACAAACACTCGTTGCTGTTGCACAGTACAAACCCTAGTCCAAATGAATTTGTGAACTGGATTTCTGGTGCCGACTACAAACCCTAGTCCAGCAGCTCCTTCAGTACCACTTCCAACATGATCAGACATGCTTTGTTGTTGGAGAGATTCTTGTGTTCCGACGTTCGTATTTGGCCACCAGCCTCAAGGGGGTGAAACCGGCGGGAGTGGACTGTGGGTGGAACCAAATTAATTACGGAGGAGTATGGTGTCGGTGTCGATGCTTTGTGTGTGTGGTTGGACGACCAGGCGGTCCGCTGTGCCGGACTCAATAATTTTTCCTCCTGCTGCTGAGATCCAAAATTTGTGTTCATTGCATAAATCCTTCTCCTGATCCCATGTTGCCAGATGTTTTTCAGCTCCTTAATGTGGACGGGTTTCCCCATATAATCACAACCTCCATGGGTTTTTGACTTCGATCACATCCCAGTACTGGCATCTGCAGACAACACTGGACATGTAACAACAGTTAGTGCGCAGACGCATATGTTCAAATTTTGTATTTAATGGCGACAACTATTATTGACAACAACAACAACAAAACCTTTTCCCATGACTATATGAATCCTATAACGCATTACGCTCATTTTTGTATCACATCTTCTATTAGATTTAAGTACTCTTAAGTCTTCTTTTCCAAAGTCCTTCTAGGTCTTCCTCTACCCCTTCGGCCATGAACCTCTGTCCCGTAATCGTATCTTCTAACCGAAGCGTTAGTAGGCATTCGTTTCACATGTCCAAACCACCGTAACCGATTTTCTCTCATCTTTCCTTCAATTTCGGTTACTCCTACTTTACCTCGGATATCCTTATTCCTAATATTTTCTCGTGTGCCCACATCCAATGAAGCATTCTTATCTCCGCTACACCCATTTTATGTATGTGTTGATGTTTAACGGTACATAATATTTATCAACTTGATATTGATTTTTTTTAACTTGATATTGATTATTGAACATCAACACTTTTTTTTCCAATGAGCGATAGTTAATTCATTAATGAACAAGAACAAATACAAGAGTTGTCACAATGGATACATTTCTTCAATAACCAATTCATTGATTTGGAGATAATTTGTACACAATATAAAGAGTAATCTCCTAAATTGCTACCACAAGTAGCACAGACACCAGCACAAGCACCAATAGTACAAATCTGTCACAAAACGGCACACGTAACAAATCTAAATCGAGGCAAACTTAATCTCATCCCCAAAAGCGAAACCACATCAAGCCATTGTTGATAAGCAAGGCCTGTTTACTTGTTGAGCAAGACATCATCCGCTAGTTGCAGTACAATCAAACAACTCTACAATGAAGCTATAATACTCCAAGAATGGAATCCACCAATTGCTCATCTCCACACTTAGGATTACGAAACCTTAGCAAACAATACCGAGACTTTACTGCATCCAGAGAGATTTACGACCACCGCTAGCAAAGCAAGCGAAGCCGCCACGGATTTAGGGGTGGTTTGGGAGTGAGGTGCTTAAAAAAAACACCCATGAAAAAAAAGCTGTGAGGGTTTTAGGTGTTTGGTAAACTAAAAAAAAGGGCTTATTTTGGAAGCTGCTGTGAAAATAAGCTGAAATCAAAGGAAAAAGCTGAAGCAGCTATTTGCAGCTTTGGAAAACTGGCTTTTTTTCAAAGCACACGAAACTACAGTGCTCCTTTAATGAAAAGACCCACTATCAGACTGTTTTTTTTTTCCAAAAGCACTTTTACAAAAAAGTTTACCAAACACTCTGCTGATTTATTTCACAGCCGCTTATTCTCATAGCAGCATTTTTTCAAAGTACAGCAATACCAAACCAGCCCTTAGCCAGGTCGGCGGTGCCAGCATTAATCGGTCGAGCACAAAGAACCCACCCTGAAAATCAAGCCATAGAAGGTGGATTTGACCCACCAACAACCAAGAAACCAACTCTAAGTTGCAGATCAAGCCCTAGCTCAAGAGAAACTATCATGAGAGAAAGGAAGATCTTGATTTTTCGGCGGAGGGTCGAACAAAGCTATGGAAAATTGATTGCCAACAAAATGGTGGGGAGACATGTACATAGAGCACCGATGGAAGAGATAAAAAGGAACGGGAGAGGACCATCAGAGGTGCGGTCGAGGGAAAACAGAGGGGGAATGAGGCGGGGGTGGGGGCTAGGGTCTAGGGGAATTGCAAGGGGATGGCTACGAGGGGCAGAGATAGGCTAGAAAGAGGGAAAAGAAAGACGGCCACCGATCCTAAGCAGAAGCAAGGGGCCTACAGACACTTTGATTGTTGACTTGCGGCTGAATGCTTCGATCAACTAGGTCTAGTGGTGGACACTTGAAACCGAAAATCAAAACCAAAACACAGACATAATGGTTTGATTTTTGCAATTTTGAAACAATTTCGGTTTAAAAATCAAAAGCTAAAAAGTGGTTTGGTTTCAGTTCAAAATATTTAGAACCGAACCGAAACTGAAATGAACCACATAATGTGGAAAAATATTTGTAGGCTTTTTAAAATTTATAATAACTAATGTAATTTATATTGTTTATGTTTTTGTATTCTGTAGAGTTGGCCAATTCAAATTCAAGTATCGTCTCTCTTACTCTTAATCTACAACCACAACATGCTGCAAGGCAATCTCAAGCTTCTAGTTCACAAAGTTCAAGGCTTCTCATCTATTGGTTTCACTTTATAAGGTCCAAGGTCTTCCCAAGTATCACATTCTCAAGCTCGAATGCCTTCTCAAGCTCGTTTATAAGCTCAAAGGCCTCCTAAACATTTGAATAGTAAGTGTCTAAAAGGAAAGGGTTCTACGATTCAAAATTTCAAAGTAGTGAGTTTAAACACCAAAACTTTTTTGTTTACTTGTATAAACAATTTATTTTTTCAAGTTGTACTAATGTCATAAGGCATTTTGACGTTGAACATTGTTTGAACTATGATTTTAGTATGGTAAACGTAACCTTTTCAATTGGGTTGTAGTAAAGTAATGCCATAGGCGTTTTGATGTTGAACTTTGTTTCAAGTTGCCACTTAGTACTACGGTCTAGTATTATTCTTCTTCACTTGTATGTGAGAGGTCTTAGGTTCGATTCTCGCCAAAGGCGAATTTGAACCACATTATTGCTAACCCATTGTAAGGCCCACCTCTTTCCTCTTAGTGTAAATAATATCGTTTGATAAAAAAAAAAAACTTTGCTTCAAGTTGAATTTTAGTATGGTGATTATCATGGATTTTTTTTTATTTGAGTTGTATTAATGACATAAAGCATTTAGTTTGCAAATGACTCGGTATGGAATTTTGAGTTTGTTTGAATGTTGAATACTTGTATTAATGTCAATTTTTTTAATGAGCCTAGAAGTGTGGCGCATGCGAAACCAAATCGAACCAAAACCAAATGGTTTGGTTCTATATCGGTTTTTACTTCTTACCCAAAAACCACACCGAACCAAAATAAATTTTGAATTCGATTTCAATTTCAATTTCAATTTTACTTTAAAACTGCACCGAACCAAACCATGTCCACCTCTAATTAGGTCTGCCAAATAGGTATTGTATCCACACACTAAGTTGTTTACCTTTTGGACATGAGATCTTAAACCATGTGTATTATTAAGCAAATATTTCTACTTTGCAATAAATAAATTACAATGAAATTATACAAATAAATGTATTTTATTACTTGTGGAGTTGATAACATTGTCTCGATGCGTAATGAGATGGATACTAATAGAGAATATACCACGAAGCTCGGGATTTGGCGCATTCATATTCCCTTAAAAATAAATCCTCAGTATTTCCAAGCATTAGAAGCTGCCAAACAAGAAACACAACATTAAACTCAAACCTACATAAAATGTGGAATTAAAAAAAATATTGAATTCAAATTGAGTTTGGGTTGGAGCCTCACCTTGTTTTGATATGGCCCATTCATTGTCCTGGCCCAGAGCCCAAAAAAAGTATCCGCCCAAGCCCAACGACTTGGCGAACCGGACCTTCATGTTCGCGGACCGGACACCATCATACCCGACCCAAGAGCTACCCGAATAAGAATAGTAAGACGCTGATTCGGTATCATACACAACAGTTGCGTTGGTTCTGTTGTTAAAATGAAGTATTTGGTGATAAACCAAAACACCATCCCCAGGGCCCATACCCAAAGCCGGTGCCCCGATTCCGTTCACTTTCGAGTCCTTGAGCGTCCAAGTCCGCCCGTACAAAGGCAGACCCATGACGAGCTTTTTGGACGGGACACCGGCTTCGATCCATGACCCGATTCCATAATGAGTACTAATATTACTCTTGGAATCATCCAACGCAGCATTCATCCCGGTGAAATTTTCCCATGACCCATGATAATCAAAGCACATTGGGCTGGCCCAATCCAAATATTTACTTATTGCCCCGGCCGGATACGATCTCGGACCGCCGTAAAAAGTAAATTTCGATGCGTAATATACCGCGGAGGTTAAAAGTAAACGGGGTTTACCGCAAACTCTAGCCTCATTATCCAGAGCCTTTCTCCATTCCTTGTACAACAAGGCAAGATTTGACATTTCCAGGGCATCTTTAGGAAACTCCCAATCCAAGTCAACCCCTTGGAAGCCATATTTCCGTGCCACCTGAATTGTTGAGTTGATGAAAACTTCCCGGGTCGCCTGGGTGGAAACCATGAGTGCAAACACGGTTGCATTGTTACCGCCGCCTCCCATGGACAGGAGTGTTGTGACAGGCGGGTTTTTGCTCCGGAGCGCTTTGATGAATTCGGGTATTCTCGCTTGGTCGAATTCGGTGACGTTGAGTTTGTAAGTGGTGGATTCGGGTTGGAGGAAAGCATAGTAGATGTGGGTGAAGTATTGGGTGTCTATAGAGGATGGTGAGAACGAATTAGATGATGGAAAATAGGCTGCTCTGATTCCTTTCCCAGATGGATAAATATGATCCGAATTCGAACCCGAGCCGTAAGAAAGCATTGTGTGGAAGATTACAAGGATGAAAAAAGGCATCAACTTTGGGGTACCCATTGCACTGCTTCTGAGGTACAAGATTCGGAAATGGCCGGCTTAATTTGGGTTATTAGGGTTTTTTTTTTATAGAGGATGGAGGAAGTCAGAAGTGCGAATGCTAAGGAAATATTATCGACCAAGTTTACAACATTTGGTTTTGTGTTTGGAAGTTTGTTGTTGAAGTTTCCTGCTGGATATATGTCAAACCAAATTAGCAGCTAGGGTTTGAACTTTGAAGGAGGAGGAAAATATCAAACATATACAGCCAAATTAATTTACAGAAAACTTGGCAAGAAAAGGATGTATCTATTTGGAAAGGAATTGTAAATTAAAAAGAAAAAAAAACTGGGTCATTTTAAATAGAAGTTTATGCAGCCGAACTGCTCGTGTCTGTATCTATAGCTAGAGTCTTAAAGTTTCATTCAACTTCATGAGAGGAGAAAGTCTTGTATACGGGTTGCTGTAAGCCTTCTCATAAAGGGGTGAGACTTACGTATGTATATAAAATGCTCGCGGGCGGAAGTCTACTCCACCCCTTATGAGAAGGCTGCCGCATTTCACTTCTCGTGAGAGAGTTACCGTATACTAAAACGTCTCTGTAATAAGTGAAACCTAAAGATAAATAAAAAAGTTGGACTTTACTTTCAATCCAATTTAGATAATTCTTCGAAGGGTCATGTTCTTTGTTCTTAATTATGGGGTAGCCACTAATTTTCATCATTTAAAGCATACACTCGTGATCTCACATGCACCGATAAAATTGTTGAGGTCCTCATAAGCCACATATGAAATTGATCGGATCCGGATCCCCTCCTAACCTTTAAAAACTGAGCTTGTTGGACAGGCAATCATGACCGTTGAAATTGGATCCAACGGCTACAAACAGGAGGTCCTCTAAAAGTTATAAAAATTGTAGCCGTTAGATTAAATTTCAACGGCCATGATTGCCTGCTCATCATGCTCAGTTTTTTAAGGTCAAGAGGGGATCCGGATCCAAATTGATCAAGTCAAGTTTTATATATTGTATAATTATATACGTCCATTGGACCATTGGAGATACATGGTGATTGGTGAAGAAAGCAACCCACTAAAACTTTGGAAGCACATAATTACTTTTTAATGCTTTTAATCTAGGTTGTTTATTTTAGGGTTCAATGGATTTTGGTCCAATCACTAAGTTGAATGCTTCAGCTTCAAAGTAGGTAAACCTCATATACATACATATATATATATATATATATATGGATTAATATTATTCATTTACACTTAAACTGTTCTGTCAAATGTTACAAAATACAATTACTGGGTGTGTGAGTGTCAAAACCAGAGGAGCAATCCTTTTGTTCTTTGTACTAATTAGTAGTTCCAACTTGGCACTCATATCCCGCATGTGTAGGGCAACTGGGTATGGATTTTTGGGCCAACCTGAAAGAGTTAGTGGTCTATACCTTAGGATTAGTTTGGGATGAAATTAGGGCTGCCTAGTGACTAGATAAACCCGCTAACAATTTCTATGGTACTTCTAGAGCGCACTTGGGCTTGAGAGGCTTCCCTTTAAATCATTGATTCTGATTGTTTTAATGCAAGATTGTCAATTTCGAATGTGACATCTTACGTGACTTGAACTAGGTCTTCATGATTAAAATTGGACTAACAATGTTCATTTAGCATATTATTTATGAATTGACAACTTCTTCTTTGTGGATCAACTCATAGGTTGACACTAACACACCATCCAAACAAAAATTAGTAAACTTAATCAATACAGAGCGACCCCTAATTTTGATTCTGTCTTTTGAAAGTTTCAAGTTCAATCAATAGTAGTACTAGAAGTAACTTTTTGAGAAGTTTTCATGTTGCATCCCATGCTTTTGAATCTCATGAGCCATTGAGTTGTTTTGCATTTTTCTCTTGTTTCCTTGATGGGTAGTACTATTTTAAGCGGGTGACTGTAGTATGTAAATGAAGAAAAATTTACATCTAACAAGTTGATATGACATTCACATCTACAACACTAATTGCGTGACTTATATTATCAACGAAGAGTCACATCACCACAATATGTAAGTTTTTCTCCGATAAAGTTGCCCCCACTTTGAAATGTTTGAAATAGACTTCAAATGTTTGAAAAACATTTAGCTGGAGGAGGTGATGGATTTATGGAACTTTCATGGGTTTCTTCTTTTGGAGTAGTTCGTATGTCGAACTAGTTTGGAGACTGGACAGACAGGGAGATCTCAAAAGGAGATTTGGTCCCATATTTGATTTGACTATGAATGTTTAAACATGGAATCATATGAGTTGATTAAACCAATTAGAAGGTAAAATACCAAACTCCACTCAAGTCAGTGTGAGTCACTCAATTTTATTCTCACCAAACTTTTATGTGGGGTTATGATTGGGGGAAAGAAGAGAAAGTTTCCTAAAATGACTTTATGCCCGTGCAATAATTCTATTAAAATAATATGTAAATAAATAAATCCAAAGATTAGAGAAATTGTTATAGTTAGTAGTTACTTAGAACACAAACCACACGGTGTATCAGCGACGGCACATTAGAATCAAGGTAGTCTCAGGACCATCTGGAGTTCGGAAAGTCTTCTAAGGACCCTTCGAATGTTTGTTCAAATTCCTTTTGTGCCCAACAAGTGTTTAAGTAATGCCCGTTGTGAGAGGTCTTAGATTCGAATCTCGTAGATGACGAATTCGATACCAAATTAGGTTGCCCATTGTGTGGCTTAGCCGAACTCTCCCTCCCCTTAGTATAAAAATATCAATGTACTAAAAAAAAAAAGTAATGCCCGCTAGGTATATCTTGGTAGTTGTGTTGAGAGCACTCGACAAATTTTCTCGGTAACACTCATCCATTTTTGCTTGGGCATATATCGATATATGTTGACATGTGCGCAACATGGTTTGAATGACAACAACAAGCATACCAATTGTTCGACCAAATGCCTCATTGAATAAACTGAAATTTGTTTGCGTGATTCGCATTCTATTGCTATTTAACACCGAGACTCCCTAATATTTGAATTCTAAAATCCTCCACTAAGTGTATTATTTTATTTGGGAAAATTTTATTTGGACCCAATAAACTTATTTCTACACCCATTAATTTTTTGTTAAATTTTATATTTCAATTATGCCCTAAAGAAAAGATGGGTGTAGAAAGATATTATCAACTGCCGAATGGTTGGGTCGAAATGGCCTTGAAAGCCACAATTGGCTGCGGGGTGGGTTGCCGGAAATCGAAAAAGTGATTGCCGAATGGTGGAGAAGAACAACAAAAATACAGTGGAGGGCGGTTATGCTCTTCGACGACATCAGGAGAATGTGTCGCCAGGTTGGGTTCATCGAAGAAATATATGGGTTGTGATGTTGAAATCGACCACTCTCTCTCTCAAATATTGGTTTCTCATCAATTCTCTCTTCACCCAATTTCAAATGACTACGAGCTTTGTCATCCTTGAAAGCACATATAGCTTTTTAACTTGTCCACATATGGAACTTCATCTTAATTTCAGGATTTGCAAGACTTCACCGGTCTTTTGAGCTACAATTTGCTGGGTTTTTTTAATTAGTTCATTAAGGTTTAAGGAGATGATATAGTCAGACCAAAATCCAGCCCCATGGAATTGGGCACGAATAATTGAACAACGACGAGATAAAGAGCAGGTCGGTGGCGACAGTTTCTGGAATGACAACCAGAATCAAGTCCGGTTGTGTAATTCTTTCAATTTTGTAAATTTTGTATTTAAGGGTAAAATGGTAAGTTTGTAGGATAAAATTTCTAAGTTGGGTGTGAAAAGATGATTAATGAATTTAAATAAAATTTCCCTTTTATTTGTTACAATAAAAGTGATCGAGTTTCAGGTGTACCTAGAAGTTGCTCAAAAGATTATACTTATCTTTAGGGGTTAACTTTGCAGATTTAATCGTGATTAAATATTAATAATGCAGCATGAAACGGCACTATCATGGCACATTAGCATGAGGAACTCCACATCAGCTTGCCCCCTATTTTATTTGTCGGCCATTTCGCCATTCCACCTTTGACATATCATCTTTTAGTTTTTATTTCTTTTGAAAAGAATAGAAAATAAGAATATTAGATAGCTTTTGTGCCAGTGAACCAAATTAGCTTTTACCTGCGAGATTAATTTATGTTTAAGTGGATGCGTTGCGTGCTAATAATCTATTACTGTAGTAACATGGACTCTAGGGTTTAAGGATAATGAGGGTTTTAACTTTTTAGGGTTTTTTAAATTAGGGTTAAGACAGTTGACAACAGCTAAGCTCAAAACAATTAAAATTAAACCAAAAAATAAACATGCACTTATTCGCAATGATAGTTAATTGTTAAATTATAAACCAGTAATTCTCGAAATGCATGCCCTTTTTAGTTTGTTAATAATTTACTTCACCTAACATATATTCAATTTATATGAAATCGGAGAAAAACTTGTATAGAGTTTATGAACCATCATGTCATAATTCGTATATTCATAGAGCATTTTTCGCAAAAGTATTATGTTTATGGGTATTTTGGTCTTACTCACTCTACGTGATCTTATTCAGTGTTAGATGTGTTTTAACCAAACTACTCTAATAAATATACACTTACCATAGATAAGTTTCTCTCATCGACCGCATTTCAAAAAGATGATAGGAAAGTACCCTCGTAGGGAAAATAAGTCAATGAAATTACAAGTAGAAGTCAATAATGTTCTGTCCACAACACACATGAAAATGAGATGATTATTGAACATCCAATAAGAGTGAGGTCCCCCACAGAATGTTGCAAGGGTGACAGTGCCATGTACTGAGATGTATTTCATGCCCTAGCTAGGGTGACATTGCCGGGAACATCAATCGCTTCAATTCGGTCCTTTTTTCAAAAAATCAAAAATCAAAACTCGTAAAATACTTATAACTCAAGTAATTAAGAGCATCTATAGTACATTTGTAAATAAGGCATGCATTTGTTTATGCATGCAATGAGTAAAACACAATCCTCATAAAAAACAAGAAATCAAAGAAAAATGATATTTTCGTGTCAAAACTAAATTACCTTTTATTTTGTTGTCAATTTATGGATATATAGAAGAACGGTGTAAAACTTCCATTGATCCAATCAAAGTATGTGACAAATCACATTAAATAAATCTACCAATATAAAGTTAAATAAACTTTAAAGATCTTAATTTTTTTTTTTAAAAGCTAACTAACAACAGTGGATTCTTCCATTATCCATATATACCACAAAAAACATTTACTTTCCCTCAGTCCAATAAACCCACTTTTTATCCTTTTGAGTTTTTGCTTACAACTTTCTATCAACTCAAATTTTCATAATCCCACTTGAAAAAAATCAGAAAACATCCTTTAAGATTTCTGCAATGGAACCAGCTAAGAATTATGAAACAAATATCTTCTTAGTAGCAGAAGCTCCTCCATGTCCAAACACTCCACTTCAAGATCCAAAAGAAACCAAACAGAAACTAAGAGTTGAAGAAGATGAAGAGGAGATGAAGGATCAAGAAAAAGAGAAGAAACCCAGCATCCGAATAATCGATCTAGAGGCTTCGGATAGCAATTCGAATCGTGGGTTCAGCTTCGATAATCCAGAGCTCAATCTACTCGAATGCCTCGAAACGGGCTCATCAGAAGGCACCACCACCACCACCACCACCACCCTTGTTTCTGATGCGGCAGAGCCTAGGGTTTTCTCATGCAACTACTGCCACAGAAAATTTTACAGCTCGCAGGCGCTCGGAGGGCACCAGAATGCCCACAAACGAGAAAGAACCCTAGCAAAGAGAGGGCAGAGGATGTTGGGGTCCCACATAATGGCCTCAGCTGCAGGTTTTGGGTACCCTTATTACTCAAGTTTGGCTTCTCTGCCTCTCCATGGTGGTGCTTTTAGGGCACTGGACATTCACGCTCACTCCACGATTCACAAACCTAGTTCCATGATGCCTTCGTCTGCGATCAGGTTTGGTGGTTCGTATGGACATCGGAGTTTTGGGTCAAGGTCGCTTTTTGATCAGCAACCGGCGGTCGGAAAGCTTGCGGCTGCGGCAACTAGAGGTGTTGGTGGTGCTGGGAGATTTGACATGGCAAAGAGCAACATGGTTTCACAAAGCAGTGAAGAAATTGGAAAATGTTGGTTGGGAAACGACAGTCGTTTCAAGAATAGTAGCGATCAGGAGAAAATGAAGAAGCTTGACTTGTCACTCAAGCTCTAACTAGTTAGTACTATCGAGACGGCAAAATTCTTCTTCATTTCATTGTATCATATACGATCCTCTTGTCTTTTTTCTTTTTCTTTTTTTGACTTTTTAATGTCAGTATTGAGATGTATTTTAAAATTCTCGTTTCACATTTCGAATATGGTTTGTGTAAATTTGATTTTTGAGAATAGCATGAGCATTTGATCTCTTTTGGCTTGCTTTTAACTTGTCCCAAATCCATTAGAATTTTTCATTTTTCCAACTTTTGTACTCCACATTTTAGTTCAACAAGAACTTTTGTTTTTCTTTTGGGTAGTGTGCACGACTCTTACTTTCTTTTTTTGGCTAGGAATTTTTTTTATTAAGATAAAAGAAAATTCCTCAGAACACTTGGAACTCATACAATCAAATATAAACGCTTGGCATGCCTCATTAGAAAGCACCCTATCCCAATTACAAATGTTGTCAACACTGGGATGTAATAGCATCTGTAAGGAAGTTGGCTTCTCTATAAGTATATGTTGCCACTACATAGAATCAAAAGAGGTCGGCAGCCATTTGATGTCCTAAAAAATAATTATGAACCTCCAACGTTTTTTGCATTAGTCAAGAATCCCATCTATAAAAGTGGACGACGAAAGGAATTTATATTTTGGAAAAATATAAAATTGTAAGTGAAGCCATGGTGTAACATATATTCACAAGTTTTTGCTAATTTAAGAATCTGCAGTTCCAATCAAATGGTGAGATTTGAAAATCAACAATCACAAACTGGCCTCCTCTGGTTTTTTTTTTTTTTTTTTGGTAAAGACCTCCTCTAGTTTAGTCCAACAATGTCAAACATAAAGTTATGTTTGCAAGTAGAAGATCATGTGAGGGTTGTGAAATTTGTTCCAAATAATTTAGGATTATTGTGTCTACGTCGATCCAAACAAAACAAACAATTTAATTAAGAGCAACATGCTGTATGTACTGGGACATATTGATTGGATAATCTTGTAACATGTTGTATACGCTTTCTCTCTACTTTTCTTTTCACATGGCATGATCAATCAGGCGAAAAAGTGAGTGTGCACGCCATGTTGTATGTGCGTTATTCTCGCAAATGTTGAATATGGCTTAAAATTTGAAACAATTTTTGACACAATTTAATTATGAGCAACTTAAAAGTCTTTTGATAACCATTTCGATTTTATTTTTTATCTTTTGAACAAACGATATTATAAGTGAGAGAGTAGGCTAAAATTGAAAACTAGAACTTAAAACTAAAAACTAAAATCTGAAGTGGTTCTTAAATAAACCCTTAGACAAAGATCCACTAACAAAAAAGAGATTAAGATTTTTTGGATCATGGAATCCATGTAAAGCTGTCAACTTGCCATTACAAGAAACGCAAAGAAACCAGGTCATACTTATTGATGATGTTTTTTTTTGTCCTTCTAAGAAAATATAAAATGATTTTGTCTTTTCTTTTAATTTTATATTTATTCACTTTTTTTTTGGATAATTATATTTATTGAGCTAATGGTAGTATCTTTGTCCTCTTTTGAAGAGCGTGTACTGAGTCACTGTCCTTAATTGATCTAAAAAATCTAGAAAAGATTTAGTTACAAACTTATATTATTAATTTATGTGCCACATTTTACATAACTTGCTAAGTTCCGATCACAAACAAATTTTTTTATTAAATTGAGGTTGGCGTAAGTAACTAAGCCTGCAGCGTGGATAGATTTTCAGCGTATTACGAACACGGGTCATACACTAAGTACTATGGTACAATTGGTTGGATATTTAAAAGAAAAAACTTTTAACCATTTGTATAATCATATTTTTCTCCAATTAAAGAACTTTTTCATAGAGTAGCCCCATAACATGTCATATTCATAAATCTTTCACATGTGCATGCACATTTCTTAATAGATTTGATTATTCATGTAGAAATTAATTAATATTTCACTCCAGTGATTTTTTAAATTAATCTTAATAAATTATAAAGAGAAGAAATCGAACTTGAATTTACCAAAAAAATGATTTTAAAATGGATTATTCACGAACAAGCTCATCCAAACTCCATTTCATCGTCAAAACCTAAGAGGAAAACTGTAGACTCAACTATTATTGCCTTGTTATTACACAATGGGTATAATTTTGATTATTTAAGTGTTTCTCACTAACATTATCAATTGTTATCGAAAGTAAACTACGTAAAATTTAGGGGACTTTAACGAAAATCTCTCGGTATTGTTCACTTTAACGAAAAACCACATTTTTATAATAAAAAATTAATCCTGATACTATTCACTTTTACGGCAGAACCTGCTATCTTATCAATGGTAGATTTCCTTAAGCAAGAAGAAAAGAATGACCGAAAATCTAATTTGAGTTATCAGATATTTACCGCTCTATTTTTCCACGAACGACTGAACTTTACCCAGCCATTTGATCAGTTCTATTCTATCTTTGTTCATCATGTACTGATGCAAGAAAACAGAAAGTTCATCATTCATTCACTCCCCTTGCTTCTAAATACTCTCTCAGCCTCTGTTGAAGCCTTCCATTCAAACTCCTGCCCATAAAAACAAGAAAACAAGGTCACCTCGCCACCAAACCCAAGACAGCAAACCAAAAATAATAGGCTAAGGGTAAATCGATAGGTTGATATCGTAAATAAGGACTGATGAGATAGAAAAAATTTATTGTACATAGGGAGCTTCATATACATGATCGAAAAATAATAGGGAACGTGCTTCAGAAGCGTAGTGTCTGCTGTGGACGAGAGAGGCTGAGATTGCCTTCCGCGGCGGAAGATTTGGGCGGCGCTGAACGCCTTTGATTATGGATTTGGATGCGGAAGAAGAAAAAATTGGAAGCACGCTTCTAGCAGTTCGAATCAGTCGAGCCATTGGGGGTTGGGAATCGGGTTTTTGAAATTAGGGTTTAAGGATTTTGGGGTTTTAAGTTAACAGTGGAGCATAATTGGGAGGAAGAAGAAGAAGATGGATTAGTGAATTGGGCTTTGAACGTTCAAATGTGCATAAATGTTTAATGGGCCTTAAATTAGGCCCATTCAAATTAGGAAGAAGGAAGTTTCAACCCCATGAGTTGGCCTGGCCTGGATTGGTGGACACAAATAGCAAAGATTGCATTTTGGGCCTTCAAGTATTGACTAATTCAAAAATAAGATTCGGGTTCTCAGGCTACTGGAGTGGAGATCCAAACTTGGATATAAAAGAAGATGGAAATGCTGGTCTGATTAATTACCCTAACCCATGTATACAATATTATTATTATTAATATTTAAAATAAACTATGGTGACAGAAAGTCGAATTTGTGACCTATTTCAAAGTTGTGAAAGGGAAATATCACCAGACTAATTCGTCTGATCTGCTTCAAAGTTGAAATGCAAGATATGAATGAACTTAGAGGTTTGTACCTTCTTAATTACTTGTCCCTCTTGTAGGTGTCTTTTTTTGTAGATCCCATATTATGCTCAAATTCATGCCACAACTTGGTTTGTAAACCACCCAACATGCCCCCTAATTAAAAGCTTGAAAAAGAGTGAAAGCAATGGCAACAAAACTGGATAGCTCCACTATTCCAAGCTCTAGAGTGGATTTAATGGTTAATTGTGCTGAAATGTAAATCCTTGAAAAAAAAAAAAGGTCTGATTAGACAAAGTATACTATACATTAATGTATAATGCTTTTTACGTACAAGTAGAGGTGGCAAATCTGTTTATTAGATTGTTAATGTGTATTAATTAAGATCCATTTAGTTTGATTTCATCTTTCACCATCATTATTATTATCAACCTCACCTTTATATGATGATGATATATGTTGATGCATAAAATCAGTGAGGACTTTGGTACAACAGAAAGTGTCAAGTTTGTGACCTTCGCTAGATTGTTTCGGTCACTAGTGTAGATAAGTATGTAAATGGATAGAGACAAGGAAGCAAACACAAGATGTACGTGGTTCACCCATATTGGCTACGTCCACGGAGTAGAGGAGTTCTCATTAATTGTGAAGGGTTTACATAAGTACATAGGTTCAAGCTATCCTCTTGTGAGTACTAGTGAATGATTTAGCACAAATGACATTCGGAAATATTGTGAGAGAATGATCTTTATTTATAGAAGAGAGTTTCTAGTTTTATTCTGACATTGGCACGTGTCGTGTTGTGATTGGCTTCTGATGTTAACACGTGTCGCGCTATGATTGGCTTCTGATGTCGACACGTGTCGTGCTGTGATTAGCCTCCTGGTTGGAGGAAAACTCTTCTGAGTCATTGATGGTATAACGTTGACCAGTGCTCAGTAGTTTCAGGATTGGTCAAGTATTGTACAAACAGTGCTCTCCTAAGTTCCCGAGTGAGGGAAGCTCCTCGGTTGGGGACTTGCAAGATCCAAGCCATTGAGTAATCACGAAACTTCTAAGTACCGAAGTGTGGTATCATTTTCACTTGCCTTATCTGTCTTATATGTAGATGTGGCATCTTCTCTAGAAGTACTTTTCCTTCATCTAGGGGTGGTATCTTTAACCGATGAAGATGCACAAGGTAATGTATCAATTTCACTTGAAGCTTACTTGTAGTTTCGGGCTTGGTCAAGTGCGATATAAACCCTATAGTAGGAGTTCCCAAAGTTGCCGAGGTAGGAGATTTGCCGAAGGAGGTAACAGACAAAGTAAGCAATCAAACTTCCAAGCAAGCAACTTGGATCAGAGGTTCGACTTCGGCTTCTGGTTGATTGTTCTTATTCTCCTTGTGTCGTAAACAACAACAAGGATAAGGAGAAGCAAATGGAGAATAGATGATATGAGATACTTTTGCTTTTGAAGAAGTAACTTTCCACAAGTTTATTCTTAAACTGGGCTGGAGTGTTTTCTGGTTTCCTCCAGAGTATAAGGCCGACTCAAGAATTTGAGGGTCAAAACAAGTCCATCAAATCTAGAGTACGTTCGACCCTGATGATATGGGATACTTTTGTTGTTGACAAAGTAGTAGATGTATCGGCACGTGTTCTAATACCCTTGTCTCCACATGTTTCCTTGTATCCTTCTCACTTGCCCTATTTGTTCCTCAGGCAGATGTGGTATCTTCTCCGGAAGCTTGATTCCAGGTAGGTACTCGAGAGCAATGCCAGGTAAGTAATCAGGCAAAGGGTTCCAGGCAGTCAGTTCCGGACTGGAAGCTTGATTCCAA